TGATGAGGGCGGCCACGGCAGGGTCTTCCTTGTTGGTCACCGCCCACTTGCGAAATACGACTGGAATGTCGTCCAGCAAATTCGCCGCAGGTTCCCAGGACGATTCTTCATCGTCCAATCCAAGCCACTTCACCAAAACTTGGTGTTGGCCATCCACGCAGCGCGCTTCGTCCAGGCGCTCCACATGAAATCCGCCATCGCCAAACGCGATCTGCGCCTCGAGGTCTTCAGTCACCTCTCTACCACCTTCGTGGTACATCTTCAATCGGCATGCATGATGGACCGTGCCTTCGTACGGTGGCACCAGCTGCTGAGTCTACATCACATGGTCTGTGATAACTCTGGTCACTTGGCAGGGTCCGCGCCAATGCAGGGCCAATTTTGTCGGACGGTTGACGACCGATCCGACGAGCACAAAATCGCTGACTGAAAAAACCCGCAAACTTGACTTGAGATTTTCGGTCGCGGCGTCCGCGCGCTTACTGACGCAACTTCTCGCTTCTCACAGCAACGTTGCGGTGCATTTCTTCATGCGCCGCTTGGAGGTCCGTCACATATTTTTTACGGGCATCGCCAAGCTAGTCCGCGACGTAAACTTCCTTGAACGTCGGGCGGACAAATCCTGTCAGCGGGGTCTTAGCTGACAGGCCGGTAAACGCTGTCACAGGCGCAATTCCTCCCAGCCGGTCTGCCGGCTGATGGTTGAGGGCGCCTTGAACGAGGGGCAACACATGCGGCCATTCGTCCGCGTTCAGCTTCATTTTGCTGAGCAGCGCCTTCACGGCGCGCAGCACTAGTCGGTTGACTACTTCTACAGTCCCGTTCGCCCAAGGACTGTAGGCTGTCGTGATATGATGGTGGGTACCCACCAACTTCCGCACCTTCTCGATCACTTCGTTCTTGAAGTGAGAACCGCCATCTGACACCCATGTGTCAACGCAGCCGAACGTGGTAAACCACGTCATCAGGCACTGAGCGGTCGCGGCGGCGTCAGCGGACTCTGCCGCGAACAGCTGCACAAAGCCACTCATGTCGTCCTTCACGACAAGCACATATTTTTGACCAGACTTGGCCATAGGCATCGGCAACCAGTCGAAATGGATGAGCTCGTTCGGCTTCTCTGCGTCAAGCGCCGAACCCAATGGACGGGGAACCGTTTCTCCGTCAATGCACAGGCAGTGCAAACAGGCACGCACGAACGCTTCGACGTCCGTGGAAAGCGTCTTCCACACAAACTTGTCGGACACCGACTTGGTCGTCGCTGAGATGTGACGGTGACCGCTGGCTCCTTGGTGAGCGATCACACAAATCCACTGCTGTAGGGTCGACGGCACCGTCTGGGATCCAGATTCGACCGTCTGGGTCCACGTAAAAATGGGAGTCGTCGTCCCAATCCACGCCGTTTGGGGGGGTCCTTCCCCCTTCCATGGTTGAACGTTGGATGCCGCTGATCGTAGCGGCTGTCGACCACTCGAAATCCACTTGTTGCAGGGCCGACACCACAT